GAGAGAGAGAGAGAGAGAGAGAGAGAGAGAGAGAGAGAATATGAAATAGTTTATTTTTCCCCCATTACACCCACTTGCCACCCCCTTTAGACCTCTTTTTCTCATCTCATAGTTGGAACCAGCCTCTTGGAGCCTCAGTGGTCTGGTGGATTTGAACAGGCCTTGTTTCTACTTTCCTGTTCAGTTATCTTAGCAGTGTTTGGCTAACGAGAGAAGCCTCTTTGTTCCCGGAAGTTACTGCAGGAGGCGTGAGTTGGAAGGGTGTAGATGTAACCAACCGTCTTATTAAATAAGAAACATAGAACCAATGCAAAGAAGAAAGCCAAGAGACCAGAGCTAAGAGCTTTACCCTGCAGCTAGCCTCTTCAGCCAAGAGACCTCTCAGAAAGGGACCTACTTCCTGTGTGTTTGTCTTTACATAGTCTTTCTGTTCTGCCTTCTCATTGGTTGTACACCCAAACATGTGACTGCCTCGTCACTGCCTGTAAGTACAGCCCTCCAGGTCTTAAAGGCGTATGTCTCCAATGCTGGCTGTATCCCTGAACACACAAAGACTTACCTAGCTCTTCTACCAAGTGCTGGGATTTTAAGTGTATGCCACCACTGCCCTGCTTTCCTATGGCTTGCTAATAGCTCTGACGCCCAGGCAACTTTATTTATTAACATACAAATAAAATCACATTTCAGTACAAATAAAATACCACCATAGAAGGGTGCTTCCTTCCTGGATATCTTGAGAATCCCCTTGTCATGGAGCAGGTGAGATGCTCATGGCTCAGGGGACAAAGACTCCTGTCACCAAATCTGAACACCTGAGTTCAGTCTCCAGGACCTACATGGTAGAGACCAGCTCCTGGAGGTTGTCCTCTGACCTCCACAGCTGTGGCACACGTGTGCCCACACACATACACACACCCATGGATAGGTAAGTACATGTTTAAAAAAAGAAAGAAGTTTCTGCCCGAGAAGGCACAGACCCTTCTGAGTCCTCTGAACTCCACCCCACGAGGAAGGAGGATGGAGAGAAACCGGAATCGGGCTCTGCATTCTCATCCCTTCCTCCCTCAAGTCCTTGGTCCTCCTGTGTATGGGTGAGATCACTTTGTCTACTGGGGGCTCATCTCCTAGGAAAAAATGGACACAAATTTTTGCTGGCCGCTGCTCTGGGGAGCTGTGGGGAGCCACACCCATCCATCACTTGTGTCCTGAGCCAGGCCCTGGGGAGCTCCAGGGTTTGAGCAGGACAGTGTGTAGAGAGCACCCTGGGGCCTCTGGCTGTCGGTATTCAGCTCGCTCTTGCTTCTCATCAGAAGCACGTGAAGGGAATCCGTGCCCTTGGACTGGACGTGGTGCCTCACCCCCCACCCACTGCAGTGTGCCCTATGAGGTGGCTCTCTGCCCACCTTAGACCCTGCCGATAAGTCTGATTCCCCAGGGAGTCCCGTCAACTCTGCTGCCAAGATAGTTCTCCTGGCAGAAAGCTTGGCCCTGTGGCGTGGTGGCACAGAACACCACAAGTGCAGTGCGTTAGCTGCTTCTCTCGTCGCTACGACAAGATAACTGACGAATGCTGCTTAGGAAAGGGTTTATCTGGGCTCGTGTTAAGGGTACTGCGCACCGTCACGGCAGGGAAGACATGGCAGGAGGTACCTGGTCATGTGGTGGCTGATGTCATGAAGCAGAAAAGGGTGGATGCTGGCACTCCATCTGCTTTCTCCTTCTTATCCAGGCTAGATCCCAGCCCTCGGGCTGGCAGGTGCCTCCCACATTCAAGATGGACCTTCCCATCTCATTTTAACCTCTCTGGAGACACTCTCGCAGAACGCACCAACAGTGTGTCTTCTAGGCTCCCATCAAGTTAACGGTCAAGATTAATCTTAATTAGCTGCATGGCTAATGTCACCCAGGAAGCAGACAAGAAGTGGAGGATCGAGGGTCCCAACATCCCCTGTGTAGGTGGAAGTTTCTCTCCTGCCTGCCTGTTCCCAAATACCCAGCAGCCACTTCCCAAATAATTGACTCAGAGGCTTAATATTACTTATAAATGCTCAGCCTGTAGCTCAGGCTTATTACTAATTCTTACACTTAAATTAACCCATAATTCTTATCTATGTTTAGCCACGTGGCTTGGTACCTTTTCTCAAAATGACATTTTCATCTTGCTTCCCCTGTGTCTGGGTGTTGACTCCTGACTCCGCCCTTCCTCTTCCCAGAATTCTTCTAGTCTGGTCACCCCGCTTATACTTCTTGCCTGGCTACTGGCCAATCGTTTTATTAAACCTATTCGAGTAACAGATCTTTACAGTGGACAAGAGCATTATCCCACAGCACTCCTGCAAGGTTGCATCCCCAGCGACCAATCTTCCTTCTCGTAGGTGCCACCTCTTAAATGCTCCATTATCTCTTTAGCACCATGGCCTGTAGCATATGGGCCTTTGGGGGCCATTCCAGATGCAGGCTGTGTCTGTCCCCAGCTCACTGTCTCAGGGGGTCCAAATCACCTGTGCCTTTCCCTGATCATCTCTATCAATGTTCAGTCTCATCCTCCAACAATCTGTTCTCTAGCTTGAACTTCATAAAGTGCAAGCTAGATCTCAGCCCTCCTTGAACTAAACCCCTCAGCCCACTACACCTGAAATCAAATCCAAATTCATTGCTGTGTCCTGCAAAGCCCTTGCAGTCCCAGCTCTTCACCTCCTCCTAGCTAGAGTCCTTGGTCTTTCTTCAGTTCCTTCAGGAGGCCATGCTTCTTCTGTATCCCAGGCCTTTGGGCAGATTCTTCCTTCTCCCTGGACGACTATTTCCCCATCTCCCCATCCTCTCAGACAGCATGTCTCAGCTCCCTTCCAACTCGTTAGACAGCCACTTCTGGGGTCCCTTGGCCAGCAGAAGACTTCTCCTTCTGCCCATCTCCGTACCCATGTTCCCTACTTCACACCGCTTCAATTCCCATATCACAACTTCCAGTTTTGTTTTTTTACGATTTATTTTCTACCCATCTCATCACTAGTATTGTAAGTGAACAGATCTTACTGCACGCCAGCATTGGTCTTGGTATATATTATTTTAGTTAACCTTCATAACAATTGTGAGTTCCAGATAAGGAAACTGAGGCATGATATGGATACGTGACTGTCCCAAGATCCCACAGGTTGCAA